ACAATTCTATCTGGTTAAGAGATCTATCCTAACAGGGACTAATAATATTGCTCGCTTGCGGGAGTTGTCTACCATAGCGAGTTCGTTTAATAAAACCTTTACTATATAAGTGTTTCGATTACTGAAGGTAACTATCTTTTCTTTGCAGCTCGGCATTATTATATTCATGATATATGTTATATACAGTATGTATAACAATCCAACCGAAGCATATTGGCTTTACATCTAATTGACATATGTGGACATCTTACTCTCATTGCCGTGTTTATGTTTATGGTGGAGTTGGAAAGCATTTTGCAGAAAAATTCTAGTTTAATGAAATGAAAAAATTTCTTTTAACAAGCCAAATAAATTTTAATTGAAATCTATAATGTAATTATTGAGATGCAATCAATGTAGTTTTTCTCCGGCATATAATATTAAATATATTCACAATAATATCAATTTATATAGGAAAAGTAACAAAACAGAGTTATTTAAAAGCATGTTTTGCTTAAAAATATCTACAGGGGAACTCTATAGAGACATTTTCTACCATATTTAAAAAATATGCTGAGTCTACGGGAAATATTTTATTAACAGACAGAGCGGAAGCTTGTTGTAATCAGCCATGCAACAGCCACCCGGGCCAATTTTTTAGAAATATATTCAGCAGCTCAGTATAAACAGTATGTTGTTAATAGGCACACCTATATATAGTGACTTATTTATATTATTGAATGATATCTTCTGATTTGAGAACTGATTCATAAGTTTATAATTAGCAAATGAAGTGTTTTTATTTAATAAACAAATAAAAGTAATATGTGAAATTTCAACAAATCGAATTGTATATTGCTTCTTTCACAGGACTGCGATAGGGTTACTATTTTCGTCCATACTATTTTCGTCTATGTATATATATATATACATATATATATATATTTATCTATATTATAACAAATAGATATAATAGAGATATGATTTTCCTATTAACGGACATTTCACTGTATTTTAGATAAAGTAAGCCCTTATCATTAGTATATATTAGATTAATATGTATTAGTAGTATATTAAAACATTTCAAATATATATTTTTGTGCTTATTTTGTTGTAGTTAAAATATTAAGAATATATTATAATATAAAAAAATATATATATTATAAATATATATTATATATATAATATTTATATATATTATAAAAAAATAATAATAAATAAAAAATAAAATAATAATAAATAAAGAGTGTTATTTGAAAAGATTGATCAATAAGTATGATTTAAAAAAATTATTATTCATAAAAAATTGTTTTGAAATTTTCCATAAGAAATTAATTGGCCCGGCTGAAAATGGTAAGTTTTTTTTAAATGCGCTAAATACAATAATATTTTTTAATTTATAAAACAAATATAAATATAATTATATATAAAAAAAATTTTGTAAATACAATATTTATAATAATTATGTTTTATTTAATCGACTCTCATATATGCCATACTAACTATTGACATAGTGCAATAATGCAAGTGTTTATACTATAAACAACAAAAATCAATTATATTACTTCAGTTTATAAGATTATTGGAGTATTTTGCAGACACGATTTATGTGTCAACTAAAATGTTGTAATTTAGTATTATATTGAATGGTACTATCTAAATTTGAGTGTATCCTCAGGCAGACAATTAAGACCATTGATCCCTTTCCCAATGCAATAAGTATTTCAAGTCACTAAGTGTATACATACTTCTTTTGGGAATTTTTATTCATGATCACAATTGACTAAAATCACTGTTTTTGAAGTTCTAGTTTTGGTTCCAGAAATAAAAAGTAACACGGGTGTCTGCTAGATGAGAATGGTGCTTTGGCAAACTATATTATATTTGTTGAGGCTTTTCTGCAAAACTTTTTCGAGAAGCGAGATTTTTTATGTCTAATTAAGAATTCCAGATATTTTTTGTATCGAATGCATATACTTTATGTCAAAGCCAAATTGACATAGATAATCTCTCATTCGAAGTAAAATATATAAACGTATGTCCACAGGACTAAAAATATGAAACTTAAATTCAAAGTTAAATACTTTTATACGAAGTTAGAATTGGTTATTGTACCAGTGAGTCTAATTGACTAGCTCACAAAAGGTCAATGCTTTCATTCTGATATCACTATTTAACATAGAACCTTAACTGTAACTGTAGCTTTAGTAGAAGTGGAGGAAGTTATTAATCTATACGCTGCATATCTATGTGGGAGAACTAAGGATGTATAAGCTGTGTGTCTATAAGAAGTTAACATTGCTGCTAGCCAGAGTTGAGAAGGTGCAGAGGAAGTGTGGCACCCTTCCTTCTTCCCTCTCATCATCACAATATTTCAACATATCAATTAGATAAAACTTCCAGATTCAGAATGTGACAATAATAGCCAATGCAGGTTATACAAGCAAAAACCTTTTTTTTAGAAATGTTCTCTCTTGGTGAGTGAAATGATTAAGTTAAAGTTGTGATAAAATGATCAAGTTTAATAAGTTTCTCTAATTGCTAGAATCTTATTTAAAATAGATTAATAATAATTTAAAAATCATGTTTTATATGTTTTATAATTAAAAGATATTTAGTTCTTTCATTCTTGAAATATTAAGGTTTATAACTGAAGTTTAGTTATTTGATTTTGGTTTTTTTTTGAGACTGTATCTCGGTAAATATTTATTTGCATGATCCGAGGAATTATCTCTAGCACTTATGATGTTTTACAAGGATACACCTTGTATGTATATTTATACATGAGTACTATTATAATATTAAATTGTGGATATGCATATGTGGTTCAAAGTATCATACGCAGAATAAAAAAATCCTTTTGTCTCTGTTTTGCGAACCTCTAGCATATTATAATATATTATTGTAAAAACATTTATTTATAATCAAATTTTTTTTTTATTTTTATTATTTTATTGTTTTTTACGAAATGCTGATTAATTTTAATTTAATTTTAATTTTGAAAGTCAGTTTTGACCAAAAAAATTTTCTTTACAGAAAGTTTAATTTTAATAGAGGTGTTTGTACGAAAAGTAGTGAATTATAACAACAAAATTTTATTATTTTTTAATTAATTGGCTATTTCTACAATTGCCATATACACATCATCAATTCTTTAAGAAATATTTCTTTTGAGACTTCAAGTACCAAGGAATGAACTCGTACCCTAAATTTGAAACTCAGTGTCTGTGTTAATTAGCCAACTGACCCAAAGCTAACTTATGTACTAACTTATGTATATGTATGTTAGGACTTTTTTAATCTACAGTGACCTGTTAGGATTCCTGTGATGATTCTAAGCTTTTCTTTTAATAGGTTCATACATTTCTGGTATCTCTTATTGTTATAGGTACCAATAAGTGATTTGGATTGTTTTAATCTTGGTATATTATCCCAGTAATCCTTTTTATTCTGGTTCTTCTCTATTTTTATGAATATTTATAAATATATATATATGTATTTATTACGAGCGTATTGTATTTCGTCACAAAAATCTAATCGACTACTTATTCAGCTTAAGACAGCTGCATTAAAATATCCAAAATACAATTATAAAATAAAATGAAATTTCAAAAATTAATTCCGCAATTCACATTTGTCATTCATATTGAAGTAAAATGGATTTGAGCTCCTCATTTATGAAATCATAAAATTAATAACAACTATATATATATATATAATAAAAAATTTATTGTGTTTTAATGGATCAATATATGTTATATATAAGATATATATCTTATTAGAATATTAATACTTTGTGTTAATGTTTCATGATTCAGTATTCAAAATTCAGTTTTTCAGATATAATCTTTTTCTATATATTAATGATATTTAAATATTTGTGAAAAGAAAGAATATTAGTATGAAATTGGTGTTTTAAGAGTTACTTCATTTCTTGACAGATTCAAATGATAATATATAAATATTATATAAATTATAAATTTTAAAATTGTGTTAAGTATTTAATTATATTTTAATTTTTATAAAAAGTTTTTATTTATATAACAGATATTTCGGTGTACATCTTCAGTGTGCAATAATAAACAAAAGAAATTATTTAAATTTATATAAATAAACAATATTTGATACTTTAAACATTTAAATTTATTAAGTAAAAAGCAAACAAATTCAGAAAAAACCAGATCAGCGATTCCAACATGTACCTGCTGGCATATGTTAGACCCGTCACCTTTATATGAAATTTTGTAAAGGACATCGTACTCATCTAATCTGTTTATTGGGCTTTTTGTTTTGTTAAGAAAAATGTTACTTTATTCCCTTGTTTTAGAAGAAAGTATATGGTCCATTTATATAATTTTGGAGCAGGATGTCAATTAGTATTTTGGTATGAAAAATTGGATCGCTGATGTTGAGTACACGTCTAATCAAATTCAGAGCTGTGTTCCGAATTATATGATGAGGATGTTGAGAGTTTGGCTGTAAATTTTATTTTCAAATATGAAGCGACTATTTTCTCTAAGGAATAAAGCCTATAATCTCTATAAATGTTTCTTTCTTTATATTGCATATATTTCTATTAAGAGATCACTTATCAATAAATTTCAACGCTCGAAAATAGTCTACTCGTCTAGGCCCCATTTTAAGACTCTGTAAGTGGTAATGTCTTTTATAATGTCTAACTTTTTTCTTTTCTTTTTATAATCGATATTTGCGATACAAATTTCTCTTTTTTACCATGTAAGTGTGCATAATTTTGCTGAATCGCGTTCTCGTTATTTCTTGTCCATATTTCTTTTCCTTTAGCAATACAATTTTATAAGAGGACATGTTTGGCAGATGTTGGTATTGCAAAAATTAAAATATAATTAAATATATAACACAAATTAATAAGTATAATTTTTTATTTAAAAAAACATTTTTATTATTTTATGTATTAAATTAACAACGTAAGCCGAGTAATAATCAAAAACTTATTAAAGAAATTATAATATTTGAGAATACATGAAAAAAATGTTGTCCTAGTGCACTTATTGATATCAATAAAAGTAAATACATGTCACGACCGTTGCAGTTTGGATCTGTGGAATTCGAAAAGGTGCTTTTTGTGCACATTAAAGAAGAAATTCACGTGGTGACATACGCGACATTCAAAATATATCTTATCCCTAAACCCAATTCGTTTCGTCAGATGAGTATCTGTTTCAGTGTTCGGCGGATGAGTAAACATTGTTAAGTCAGCAATCAAATGGTTCTTACGTATATGTTCTACAAGTGCCGACTTCAAAAAATGTTTTTTTCCGCATAGAGGACAATCAGTTTCATTCATAACAAACTTTTTCTTAAATATGTTTTCGTTCAGGTCTGCAATTGACTCCAAGTCATCAGCGCTTGTTGTACTTGAATCCTGAATCGAACAACTGTTCGACAAATCTTTATCACATGAATCCTCAGGATAGCTCCTTCTACTTTCATCTGTACTTGTATCATCGGTTGTTTCTGTGCATTCCTAGAGTTATATTATTATATATAAATAAATCAATATAAATAAGAATACATAATTTATAGCGTTTACTGGTTTAAATATGTTTACGTTCAGGTCTGCAATTAAATCCAAGTCAACATCACTTATTGTGCTTGGATTGTGAATCGAACAACTGTTTGTCATAATCTTATCAGAGTCCTCAGGATAGCTCCTTCCATTTACATCTGTACTTGTATGATCGCTTGTTTCTGCGCATTTCTAGAGTTATATTATTATATATAAATAAATCAATATAAATAAGAATACATAATTTATGGCGTTTACCGGCTTAAATATGTTTTCGTTCAGATCTGCAATTGACTCCAAGTCATCAGCGCTTGTTGTGCTTGAATCCTGAATCGAACAACTCTTCGACAAATCTTTATCACTTGAATCCTCAGGATAGCTCCTTCTACTTTCATCTGCACTTGTATCATCGGTTGTTTCTGTGCATTCCTAGAGTTATATTATTATATATAAATAAATCAATATAAATAAGAATACATAATTTATGGCGCTTACCGGCTTAAATGTGTTTTCGTCCAGGTCTGCAATTAAATCCAAGTCAACATCACTTATTGTGCTTGGATCCTGAATCGAACAACTGTTTGTCATAATTTTATCAGAGTCCTCAGGATAGCTCCTTCTACTTACATCGGCACTTGTATGATCGCTTGTTTCTGTGCATTCCTAGAGTTGTATTGTTATATATAAATTAGTGAATATAAATAATATTGTATATAAAAATATTTAGTTTTCGGTGTTTACCTTTTTCAACAAACTTTCAATTAAGGTCAGTTTATCTTTGAAATTTGTATCCATTGTCCTTTTTGGAGGATTTAATATTCTTCTATTAAGTCTGATTTTTTGCACCTATATTTGTTTTTTTGTTGTATTAATAAATTGCTCGTACACTAGGTTTGAAATACTAACCCGACCAGTTGGAACGGAATTGCCATTGGGATTAAGTAATTGCCACACTTTCGAAATTGATTCTACAACACTTCCACAGCGTTCTGGTATATAGTTTTCGACTTTGTCAGTCGGCGTGGAATTTAATAAATGTTGCTAGAATTGTGTTATTATATTTGAGTAGGTCAATTTAAGAATTTTTACTTTAAAAATGAATGTAGGACAAAATAAAATTACCACTTCAAACATGCTTTCATCAGTATCCGCTATTATTTCTGTAGCAATATCCACTTTCCTGTTTGGTTGACCTACATCACTTTCTTCCTCATTATTGGATAAATATTGAGGCCCAATGTTGAGTTTGTTTTTTTCAACCTAATTTTTATTTGAATTTTAAATATATTCTTTTACTGTTTTGAGGTGCTTACTTGATCAGTTGGAGTAGCTGGGCACATAGTAAGATCAATAAAGGGCATCTCTGATTTATGCAATTCTTCAATGTCATAGCATTTTGGGGTTGGATTCCAAATCGTACCCTTCAGCGTTGAATTTGACCAATGTTTCTAAAATTATTGTAGCATAAATCAGAGAATGTGAATTTTGAAAAATTGATCATTTTAGGATACAATTTGAATTTTGTTAAATTCATTTTAAATTTTAATATTAAATTGTATTTTTATAATAGTAAGAACATAAGATGTCGACTAAAATGCGTGTGAAAAGGAAGACAAGTCTTGAAGTGATGAGGCTGTTAACGATCTTCATGTAATATGATATATGTGTTAAACTTTCTAAATTTTAACACAGTCGTCAAGAGCTTGACATATAATACTTAACTCATGAGGCTTTATTTCGTCTTTTTAACGTAGAATTTTTTTCTAAATGTCAATAAGCGTTGCTTTAACAATTTGTATTTAACTAAACGTATTTTAATGTATAACTGAGCTTTTTTACGTATGCATTTATTTATTGAATTACTGTTAATAGGTATATAAAACGATTTTTATATACCAAGACAGAGTACCTAAAATAAATTTCAACAGTTTTGCCTTTGCATGTGATTTCAGCTAATCAGCTAATGTTTTACAATATAGTTATATAAAAACTAAGATGCCTTTATCGAATAATACATTCCTAAAATAGTTGGTAAAGAAACCTATCAATTAAGGATTGTTTACCATAGGTACTGTTAGCATTTTTCAGTAATGTTAGCCAGTTCATCCAGAAATACTGCCAGAAATTTTATGAATGATTAACTAAGTCCATTTCTGAAAAGTGGTTTTCTAAACAAGTTTGACTATTTATAGTATTATATTTTTTTAGATATTTCGGCGAACAAGCTTTCTTTAGAAAGCTTGAATATTATTACCTTTACAAGAACTAGTAATGATTTTTCAAACGAAATAATAAGAAAAATTTTTGCTGCATGTCTCAAGAACACAATAAGTGCAATTTTTTTGTTGGCTTTACTAATCCAAATGAGTTTAAATTTATATGTTATAACGTAAGGCAAAATCAATATATACTATTCCGTAGTTAGGATTGTTTTCAACAAATAATATATGCATATATAAAACATATATAAAACAAATAAACCATCGTCAGTTTAAAAATATTGCATATAAGTGCTCCCTTGTTCCCTTGTTAAAATATTGTGTTCAAAGAATCCAATTTTAAAAATTATTGCAAGCATGTGCAATAGTTATGATATATATTGTCTATATTTGCCCCGAGCTTTCCAGGAAATCCTTTAGCACATCATCCTCTTTAATACAGAAGCAAAACTAATTTCAATATGTTATAAAAGCGTTTAATTTTAAGTTGTGATTCTCGTTTGTATTTAGTGAATGAATATTATACTACATAACATAACTCTAATTTACAAAATTGGTGGACAATTCATAGTTATTGTTTCACCAATCTAAGCTCTGATTGAGCTCTCTGGGTTGCACCAGTCAATAGTCTGCTTGTATTTCAGCTCTTTATATTTTGTGGTTGGCAGGTATTTTTAAATAAAGAAGTGAAACCATATCACGATTTACCTCATTTTTCATATTCCCTTTTTTGTGCCTTACATTATACATTTATTACTAAACAAAACTAAATTAACCAACGTGACGTTACCATGACTGTCTGCTTAACATGGTGCTTAAGGAATCGCATGAGTTATATTCGTATAAATTATGTTACTCATGTGATTTCATTTTTTCATTTTTTATTTGTATTCATGTAAAAAATGCCTAATGCCTAGTATTTCGTAAACAAAATAGGTGTTCATGCTTTTGTAACTAAGTTACGGTGATCTGTGACCGATCAACTGTACCTACTTTTCATGATTTTGTAATGAGAAGAAAGTGCATTTCAACAACTTAACATAATTAAGTTGTACTAGCTGATGTTGGATTACGAAATAATGACAAACAAAGAGTTAAAATAAAACTAAACTCCGAGTTTTTCTACTTAACAAACCTCAAAAGAGAAACCAGTCTACCTCAGCAAATAGAGTAAGCATCAAGAACGTATAGTTACCAGTTGTAAAAAGATCCTAAACATCTTACGGGTGTAAGATATAAATATAGAAAGTACATAATTTTATTAAAAATAAAGTAAAACAAATATATTGAATTTGTTTAATTGATAATGTACCTTGCTAATACTGTTAAACTTGTACGGACGAGACTAAATAGTACCGCATCACTATTCTGATAATTATTGCGCTGTTCGATGAAACAACAGCTGAGTTGCAGTGGGAAATATTTTAAAAAATTTGAGTAAACGTATAAACGTATAAACTTTTTTATAAACTGGAAAAGTTCTTGTAACTTTCATCGACTACTATCAACACTCGGGATAGTGCTATAACATAATTACAAAACTATCACTACCGCTCTAATACGCACATTAATACTAATTTACTTACATCTGCCTCAGCTGCGTTATTTCCTTTAGTTTCAACATGAGTTGTCTCGGACAATAAACCAGCGAATTTCCTCTTTCTGACAAATCTACTATTATTATTATTTTCCACCTCTCTCCCAGGAATTGATTCACCATTAGTCCGAAATTGATCACCATTCCAAATTTCAGGCAAACGTTGGTGTTTTTTAGCCCAATAGCGTTGCTTTTGTGACTTTTTCCTTTTACTCTTTTTGCCCACTGCTGATAAACGCACCTGCGCCGAATTATTCTTATTTTCCATACTTTCCCAAAATAACTGGTGTCAGATAGGCTTGAACTCAGCAAGAAGTTAGATAATAGCTTCTATATTGTTAAGATGTGAAATTACATTTGTTATATCAGTGTTGACTGCAAGAAGTTGCAAAGCAAAAGAAATTGCCGTGACTCTTTCTATGCAACAGTTTTAAACTCACTGAAGTGATAATCAGCTGCTTCATAAAGGTAAGCTGATTGCTTAGATCTGTTCCAGTATTTTTGAACTTAAAAACATGTATTATATGTTAAGATGTAAAATTATTTTTGATATATCAGAATTGACTGAAAGCATTGAGTAAAAATAGTATAGAGTCACAATGACTCAATTTTTAAATTTTCAGCAACAGGCACGGGAGGGCGGAGTAAAGATTTTACTTCTTTCTGCGCTGCTGCTAGATCGGTCGCGCTTATGCTTGTTCTTTCTAAAAATTTTACTATTGATGAATGAAGGACAAAAATGAAAACAAAAAACAGATTTGCTTGTTACGTATGCAGGCCGTACAAGAAAAGAGTCAAATTAGTTTTTGGTGTAATTATTTGTTTTTACAATTAATGCTTGGCATCAGCAAGCAGCACGTAAAATTGCATGCATTTAATATCACTTCATAATGCAAATAAGAGAAACAGCCCTACTTGTTTGGAAGTTTACTGACCTACATATATATATGTATGAGTATAAATGTATATTTATAAACATATGTACTTTTATTTGGAAGAATATGAATATTTTTTGATCTTATTTTAGGAACATTTGAACATATGCAACCAATTTCAATTTTTTGTTTTAATCAGGTATAATAACAGTTATATGTATGTTATATAAGTATTAGCTAAAATAAGATAATTGTATGTAATTGCCCATGTGCGAGTTCAAGTAATTGATGGTAAATTGAGGAAAATGATAAATTATGTCCGTATGGCAGCGAATGTTGGTATTTACCAGAATTTCGAGTAGGGTAAATTAGGTAAATTAGGTATTACTTTTTATAAGATAACTTTTTATAAGATGTATAATAAAAAAATAAATAAATTTGAAAACTTTTAACATAAGTGCAGCGCAAAAAATCCCCAGGAAATTTCAGTTTATTTTACGTTAATTTACTCCAACTCGTACACGGCCTTTTATGGGAATTAATGAGAATAATAATGCTTTCGAAAAAAATAAGCATGCTTAGGCAGATTGACCGAGAGAATGCAATACTTATTGTTGACGAAATGAAATTAAGGCCAGAGCTACGGTATAACTCGGTATTGGACCAAATTGATGGTTTTGAAGATGTGGACTTTTTCAGAACTGATAAAATTGGTAAAAGCATATGCCTGTTCATTGTGAAGGGAATGTTTTCAAATTGGTCATTTATATTAAATTATTTTATTACTGAAAATGGCATGGATGGAGACTGCTTAAGTAATATAATATTGGAAAATTTGCGGCTCCTCAAACATGAGCTTGGTACTATTGTAAGAGTTATTTCTTGCGACCAAGGTTCAGCAAATAGGAAAACATTCTCTACCTTTGAAATTGTACCTGAAAAGCCATTCTTTGATTTCGAAGACAACAAAATATTTTGCATGTATGATTTTCCGCACTTGATTAAATGTCTCCGTAATGGGTTTATGACATGTGACCTAACAACGGCAGACGGCATTGTGAGCTTTAAAGTACTGAATGAACTGTGGGAGCGAGAAAGATACGCAACTACAAAAATGTGTCCTAAACTAAGTAGGCAACATATAGAACCAAAAAATTTTGAAAAAATGAGGGTTAAGTTTGCGACACAATTATTTAGTAAGACAGTACAAGCCGCAATAAGAACCATTGTGGGAACTGGAGGTTTTAACAATGTCAGCAATGAAGTGGCAATAGCAACTGCCAATTTTATTGAAAAAATTGATAAAATATTTGACTGCATGAACTCCTGTACCCTGTATTCCAAAAATCCATACTCTTGTGCGTTGCGGGTCGACGGAATTGTAATAAACTATATAAAGGATTCATCCTTTATTTTAATTCCGTTAAGTTTACCGATTCAAAGAAAACTGTTCATTTCCTGACAGACTTTAAAATCACGCTTAATGGAGTTGTTCAGCTTGCGGAGGAAATTTTTCGAAGCAATAGTGAAATATTCTTTATAATGACAAATTTTCTTTGTCAAGACAAACTTGAAAACACATTTTCAATATTACGGCAGAGAGGCGGTTATAACAAAAATCCATCCGTATCAGAAATTAATTATATGCTGGCGAAAGTTATAACGCGTAAAATTTTATTATCCACAACAGTGGGAAATTGCGAAACTGTGGAGGATGATAATGTGTTTCAGTCTGTTGTAGATGATGAAATATCACCGAGTAATGAAGTTTCTTTAATAGTTCACGAAACAAACGACAATTCGGGCAATCAGGATGAAATTTCCATTCAAAATACTGTGATGTCCTACATATCCGAGAACCATGACGTTTTAGACAGTGAATTGCCATCACTTCGATATTTTTTGGGTTACGTCGCATCTCGAGTTTTACCGAAATTAAGTTGTTCATCATGTAATAAAAGCATCAGAAAATCGAATGAGTTCTTGACAGCACCAACAGAACTATTTCTATTTTATAAAAATTATAACAAATCAACAGATTTCGGTAAACTTGTTGCACCCACTGAAGAATTTGTTAATGTCAGCTGCAAGCATGTGTCCATATTTACGAAGATGTTTAAACAAAAACCGGAAGCTTTTGAAATTAGAAAAGTAATGAGGGAACAATGCATTCTTTCAAGTCCGAGTTGGTTTATTGGGGCCTGCAGACTTCATCGAATTGAATTGCTGGACTTTATTCTGCTTATATTACTTCGTAAGCACTGCATATGGATGGTAGAGAAAGTTAAATCGACTAAGGCATAAATTGTTATATGACCTTATATTACAAATTTGCCCTAATATATCTATTTATAATTTATTTATTACCATAACTACTTACTTTATTTATTTTATTCAAAATACATAGTTTAAGTGAATTAATTTTAAGATAGTTATTAATAAACATGTGTTAATAAATATGTATAAAAATGTAAATATTAATATTTATTACGTAGATACTTTCGCTATTTTTTATGGTTATTCACGGGATATTGATCAACTTATAATTTTTTGTGTTAATATACATTAATATTTTAAGCAAAGCAATTTATACATATAAACAATAAAAAATAATGTATCATATATATATCTAATAACGGCAAAAACTCTTATTGGTGGTGGTATTTCTCTATTCCTGAGCGTTGTTTGTTGTCGTTTTGTCATTGGGCCTTGTTGTGGTAGGATTTTAGGCAGGTTTAGGAGTATTTTCGTAAAATCTTCTACAGGTTGTTTTCTTTCTTCTTTTTTACCATTCAATTTTCCAATTATTTATGTGTGATAATATATTTCTTTATCATTTATATGTAAAAAATCTTTTTGTCAAAAATACTAATGTATATTAACATAAAAAACTAAAGTTCTTCAAATTCTTGAGAACGATTATAAACTATAGTCGAAATAGAGAACAAATAATAAAAAAAATTTTGAAATAGTAAAAAAAATCTCTTTTCTATATTATTTTTTTTAAACAAAATTTCTTCGTTAACATGGACTAGGCCTCCTGGGGACACCATGTAAAAAAAAACGCGCCATGCATTATACCTCAAAGGTGGTTTGGAAATTAGTGCGCAACTAGTAACATGAAAATTGTCACTTCTATTTTATTAACGATAACCTTTCATGTATGTCGATCTAGTAACTATCAATGATTATGCAGTTATTTAAAAAAATCTCCATTTCTCGGCAATTATCCGCTTGCAAAAGCTAATAGTCGATACACTTGTATCCCTTGTACTGATATTCCTTTTATACTTATTCAGTATCTGTGAAGCGCATACATTTGCGAAATAGCGTTAATTATTCAAACTGCCATATAAACCGAAGGTTTAATTTTAGTTTTTTTTATTCATTTTAAATTGATTTCTATATAATTTTATTATAATACATTTGGCAAAGCTAAAGTATACTATTTTTAAAAAATATTTTACCAATTATTGATAAATATTTTATATACATATGTATTCTTATGATTGTATTACTTGCTAAGATTTAATATATAAA